AGGAAAAAATTCATCTAGATCTGATGCTATTATGGAAAGAGGTGCTGCTGCTGCTATGGGAAGAGGTGTTATTGCAACAAGAGGGAGAGGTGTTGTTGCAGAGGTGCTTCTGGTTTGAGAGGGAGAGGTGCTTCTGGTTTGAGAGGGAGAGGAGCTTATGGGGTTTGAGAGGGAGAGGACATCCTATATCGTGAATATATGTATTTTGCTATGTGTTAAGAATGATAGCAAATTTGGTTTTTTGGTTCAAATGTTGAAGATGGTTTTTTTTGTCAACTAATATGATGCGGATGTGGTTTTGGGTTGTTGAGGTGTTGCAGATGGTATTTTGGGCTTCACATCTTGCAGTATGGATATCCTGCTATGTGCATTTGTGTGAAGAGGTGCTGCTGCTGACAACAGATCGCAAAGTTAGGGAGAAGGCAAAGGAAATCTTTTGATATTTCTAGCTAGCACAGGAACAAATGTGTAACTTTTTTTTTTTCCATTGTGTTTGTCTTTTTCCTTGACAGCAAACAGCAAGTGTGGACCAAGTTGAAGTTTGATTTGAGTAGGGTTTTTGTGATGCACATTATGTAAATATGGTGTTTTTGTCTTTTGTGAATTGCAAACATTTGACTAATGACAATGGCACTATTTCTAACCACTCTTCTGCATGGGAGCCAAGTTTGAATTAATATTTTTGCTTTGTAGTTGCTATACTTAAGAAAAAGTTCACATTTCATTGCAGAACGTATATTACATTCAAGTCATCTTCAAATTGATTGTGCCCAGCTGAGCTACTAACATTCAACAACTAACCCACCACATTAACACAGCCAACTACAAAAACAACATAAACTACAAAAAACTAACCAAACTACCCTAACTACCCTAAATACATAAAAAAAAAATTTATTATTCACAATCCTCTGTTACCCTTGAATAGCAACATTACAAGTAAGGTGAAAAGCATCATGATAGCCATAAAGCATATGAAAATCAACTTCTTCAAGCTACCAATCTCCGACTCCAAGCACTTCCTTTTTCCACCAATGGTCACAATCTCACTGTACATTTTCATCATCTCCCCCTTCATGTACAACATCTCTTCCTTAAATTCAAACAAGTCAGTAGCTACATTTCTTTGCCTCACTTCGAATTCGCTTCCTTGAGATCGATCTGATGAATCTATAGCTTTACACCAACCAAGAAAAGACCCGCATGCATTTTCAATACAGTAATAATACAGTCGATTTTTGTTTTTTTGTGTCTCTAAGATCCTAATGCCTGCTTTTTTCCCACACTCCAACACTTGCAAATACAGAGCAGCATACCCTTCCTTCCATGCTCCATCGGTTGCGCTGAAGAAGACATAGTAGGCTGTCGCTTGTTCCACTGAAATGGGAGGAGAGATGGAAGATGAGCTTTTGTTTTTTTTCCCTTTCTTCTTTCTCTGCGTTTTTTGTGAGAATGGAAATTTCGTCAAAACCTTAATTCATAGTCATGCACTGTTCAGTAAAGGCATTCTTGGTCAATTTATAAAATGTCCTACCTTTGTTTTGTACTGATTTTAAACGGAAAAAAAAAAACCAAACCTTTTCGGATGGAAGGAACCTTTTAATTAAGACGGAGTTAAACCTTGAGGGACTAGTTAGATATTTGTGCAAACTTGGGATTAAACCTGAGGGACTAGTTAGATATTTGTGCAAAACTTGGGATTAGTTGGTTAATTATGTAAAACTTGAGGGACTAAATAATAATTTTCCCTTTTTTTATCATTTCAATTGAACTATCAACTGAAATCATACATATATGAATCAATTATTTAGTTTACAGCAGATTTTGGTGAAAGAAATTAGAAACATTGGATGACAGTAGCCATTTAGCTTTTCCCTTGAACTGTTGCTTTGATATGAATTGTATGATGTTGTAAATTTAAGTTTTTATGAGAAATGAGTTAATTTGTGTATAGTATACAAGTTTAAGTCAAGAAGAATCTATTTCTCTTGGTGGGCAGCATCTAGGTCAGGTAATGGGTGTCCTTTTAGATAAACTAACATAGAAATAGATATATTTTCAATAATTTTTTATGTTGGTTATTATCGATTATTGCTTGATAGCCTTGTTAGTACTAAATAAATGGTTCGATTGTAGACCTTTTCATAATTAGAAATTATATTTCTATGTTAAGATGGAGGAAATTTATGAAGCCTTAGTTGATATATGTTTAAGAGTGAATTAAGTTACTTAGTAGATGTATATGTTGAATTTTTATTTAGCTTAGCATTGGTTCTTAGTGGCTAATTTAGAATTTTAGCAAATGCATAAATATATGTGGTTTATACCTCAATCAAGTGTGATGAAGTAGGCTTGATGAAGAGTTTTATAATAACTAGAGGCTAAGTAACTATTAAATGAGTCATTGAATTTAACATCAATAAAAGTTTTGTTTATATATATATGTATAAAATATTTCATTTATTTGGTAATTAGTTAAACAATAATTAATAATATCATTGGAACAAGCTAAGAGGTTATTGTAATTTGTAAATTAATTGGTGAATGTTGACATGGTCGTTTTGAAAGGAGGATGAGAATTAAATTGTTTGATTGCCCGATGGATAGGCTGTGTATGCAATGGTTGATAGATATTTAAAATTATTTAAATTTGCTATTATTTAAGTAGGTGAATAGTCCTATTTTAGGGGGAGGTTCTGTCAAGATTTCTATAGAATATATTTAATGATTAAGTAGACAAGTTTATTTAGAATATTTTTTTTTTGTTTAACTCGATTTATATAAAATAAAGTTCGGTATTTAATTATGTTCTTTCTTTTCTATTGATATTTTTTCTAGATCATCCGAGTTCATTTATCGCCCTACAAGTCAAAATCCGATTAGAACTTCTCCTCTTCATCACTATGAGTAGTAATAAATAGTGTATTACCGATTGCATTATGCATACATACATTACTATATGATGTTACAGTTTCCTACTTATTTATTTTTATAGCATAAACATTCATTATTTTTATACTTGGTTTATATATGTGTATATTTGAATATTTGCATAAAAATGCTTGTTTATTTAATGTGCTTGCATTTAAATGCAATGCTTGATTAGATGTGTTGTGATGATGATATGCCTTGTTTGTGTGAAATTAGGATGAAGTGGGTCACCATTGGGTTTGTGAGGGCGGTCTACGATACCGTTGGCCATGTATATGGAGATTGGTGCCCTCGTGTGCATATGAATTATATGAAAAAACCACAGAGTGGCCTCCTGTTGGTGATGGAAAAGAAAAGAGATGATGGAAAAACAATGAGAGGGTTGGTAAAGTGAGGATTAGACTGGTCGGCCATGTATGGGGGATCGGCTCCCTGGTGCACACGCCATGAGAGGATGGGCCATGTGTAAGGACGGCTCATCGGGGGTTTCGGTGACGCCAAAGACCAATCTCCACTTGTTTGACGGCTCATCGGGGGTTTCGGTGACGCCAAAGACCAATCTCCACTTGTTTGATTATGTGAAGGTGTACTTGTATGCGGGTGCTGATGTTGTGCCATGTGCTTGATTGAATGAGTGTTCATTTTAGTATTTTAGGGAGCATTTCGTGTAAATGCCAGTGTTATGCATTAATTATTATTCGTTTTAAAATTCACTTCTCTTTTATTTAACTTTACTTGGAAGCCGATTCTTCATTGCCCTGACTAAAGCTCTATTTTCTTCATTGCCCTGGCTAAAGCTCTGTTTTCTTCATTGTAGAGCTAAAAAAGTAATCTATAACTTTAAGTAATCTATAACTTTAGCTGTTATTTAAATTATGTAGCTATATATACCATAACTTATTTATATCTATTTATTTGTGAACTTCGCAATTGTAGAATTATAACCGATGAACTTGTGTGGATGTTTTAATTTTTCATTTACGTGTATGCATGAACCAGTTAGCCCATATTATGGATGTTGTATATCATATTTGGGACTGAGCTATGAAATGTTTGAGACGCGGGATTTGGGCTAAAGTATAAAATAATTATGAGAGTTTTTATGTATGGTAATATAGGTTGACTGTTCTTGAAATACATATTGTTGTGGTTGAATTTAGTAATTCAGGCTTACTACGGGTCTCGGGAGCCTTATGCTTACCTGAGCCTTAGTGCCGGTCCAGCTAATGATTCGGGTTGTGACTTGGCTGTTTTAGTTTTCTACACTTTGAATATAGATGAAGATAAGAGTTATTTTTAACAGAATAACTAAAAAATTTATTCAAAAATTTCAATCTAGCAATTAAAATGGGCCCATTTTAAACTAAGTTATCCTAGTCAGCATTAGTACAAATCACGTGCTAGGGAGTGATTGGAGAAGAGGGTCCTTCGCAAAATTGGGGCGTAGGGTTATTTTTTTAAAGTTGAGGAGGCAATTTTGTATTTGGCATTTTTAAAAAAAAAAAAAAGAAAAAGAAAAGAAAGGAAAGCGGCGCACGTTAGCAATTCTGCGGAACCTTGACTCTACTTGCGGAGTTTTGTAAAAACGCGCAGGTCATTGGAATTCCCAAGAAAAGAATGAAGAAATAATTTTTCTTTTTTAATTTTTAGGTGAAGAGAAAGAAATGAAAATTAACGAATCTGAATGATTAATCAATCATCTGTCTCTCTATTTCAGCAATGAAGCAGTTCTGAAATCGATTGCTGTTCTAACAAAAAAAAAAAAAAAAAAAAAAAGTTCTGAAAATCGAGTTGCTGTTTGCTAACAAAAAAAAAACATAAGAAGAAAAGCAAAAAATGGCAATAATTCTCGTTGTGATTTTCGGTGCCTACTTATTCTGCAGCTGCTTGCATTCATCTACGTCCAGGGTGCTCCTCTCTTTCTGTATGGAAATTTGGAACTAGAAATTTCACGCAAAATGGATAATTTTTAGTTTGACTTGTTTTATATTTAAAATTTGTTTCTTGCAGAATGCGGCTTTTGGCTACAACTACAGTCGGAGTTAACGCCGATCGAACTCGCTTGCAAAGCTGTGCGTATAAAAAAAAAAAAAAAAAAAAAAAAAGCAAAAAATGGCAAAATTCTCTTGTGATTTCCGGTGCCTACTTATTCCTGCAGCTGTTGCATTCATCTACGTCCAGGTGCTCCTCTCTTTCTGTATGGAAATTTGAAGCTATGAATTTCACTGCAAATGGATAATTTTTTAGTTTGACTTGTTTATATTTAAATTTGTTTCTTGCAGATGCGGCTTTTGGCTACACAGTCAGAGTACGCCGATCGACTCGCTGCAGCTGTGCGTATAGGACCTTACTACTAATCCTTTTTTCTTCTTCTTCTTCTTCTTCTTTTGCTCTCTAAATTTGAATGTAATTTGTCTTCTACTCGTTTGGTGATGCAGTTTTTGCCTTTGTGTTTTGCTATATATTATTATATTGGTTTTTTTAGCTGTTTGATTTTTGTACTATTTTATAATGTCAATCGAAATGAGGTTGGTCAATGTTGTTTTTAAAGTATAAATTGCTCTTTCTTAGCTTTAGCTAGTTTTAAGTTTCTTATTTCATTAGTCAATGACAAAGTTTGAGCTCCAGTGAGATCAATGAACTTTGAGAACAGTCACTTTGATCGAGTGTCGTTAGTATGGAGATAATTTTTCTTTTCTGTTTAATTAATAATCTAGCAATTGGAATTGTTTTTGGGGAATTATGGGCTGACATTTCTTAAGTGGTAGTTATTGATGTAACTGGCATTTTTTTTTATTATTTATTTTTGACAGGTTGAATCGGAGAATCATTGTACAAGTCAAATGCGATTGCTGATTGATCAAATAAGCATGCAGCAAGGACGAATTGTGGCTCTGGAAGGTTTTGCATTGTCTGAAAGTGTTGTGTTGGGCTTTTCTTTTCCATTTTGTTTGCAATGATTCTTTGATTGGTTTTGACTTTTGAGCTCTTGGTTAATGCTATATCTAAAATCTGGATTACTGCCATGCTCAGGGTATTGCAAAATGGAATTACTTCAACCATGTTTTTCGTGGTACTTTACTTAGAAAGGGTACAAATTTTTTAATTTTGACTTTTAAACACCTTTTGGGAAAAACTACCAGTACTAAATAAACTTCTAGGATACTCTCTCTTCATCAAATTTTTGTTTATGTAGTTACAATGCAAAGTTTGGCTCCATTGAGTTGTAAAATTTAGCTTTCTGGCATATGTTCGTTTGTCCATGTTCAATTTCTTCTTTGTGTATCTGTTAACATATAGCTTGTGACCATATATTATTTTGGGAAAGTCCATAATATTGGTAATTTCTTTTATTATGCAAGGCACTTTGTAGTTTGTATTGGGTATGAGGAAAAATATTGCCGTTTAACATTTTTCTATTACATTGTGACTTGAATTAAGCCTATTGAATGCTATTTTTCTACTTACAACCTTTTTGCAACTATTTCAGAAGAAAAGAAACGTCAAGATGAAGAGTGTAGACAACTGAAAGCTCTTGTTGAAGATCTTGAAAGTAAGTCCTCCTGCTTCCTTCTGTATATTTATTCCTTTGGGTCCAATAATATCTGATGGATGATATACTTTGAGCAAAATATTATACTCATTCAAAGAGCAAAATGTTGTTTTGAAGTCGAAGCAATCATCAATGTTACTTGCACTTCTGAAGTAGTCCATCAATTACTGCGGACCTTGATGCATAATAATTTTATTAGATATGATTCACTGGTTTTGCTTTGCATTTTTTCTTTTTCAGCATTTCATATTGACGTGGCTTTGTGTTGGTTGCAAACTTCCTTGATTTAATGGTTATTTCAACGACTGATTTTCTGATATCCTTGACAACAGCTAACCCATTTTTATTGTCGATTAGGAGTTCAAATTTGAGGGAACTATTTGAGTTTGGGGTAACAATTTTTCTAGTGATACTGTACTTATGAAAATATAAAATTGATAGTTAGGAACTCTTGCTTTAGTTTTTGGAGTAACCATAAGCCTGCTTTCTTTTCTTTTTTTTTTTTTCTTAAAAAAAAATGGTGGGGCTTGTCTGGTTTGCTCAAATTATCTGAACATTGTTCAAACTATCCCTTGTCTCAAGGGGAAGAAAAATAAAATGGTTTTTGTACCAATAATTATGTAGGTAGAGCTGGAGCAGCCACCGCACAAACAATAATGAACTGATCTGTGAATGCATTTCTGAATGGTCAAATTAAAACTTTAATGTTTGTTCTTTTGTTGTTACTTTGTGATTTCTATTTTATTTGCGTATTCTAACTGAGAAGAACAGGGCATTCAGCAGGGAGATTTTGAAATTGCAGAAGCTTGGTTCATTTCATTGTTATTTGCTATGAATGTTGTTAATATTTCTTCAGTTACTTCTTTGCAATTAGAATTGATTGATGTAAACATTTCAAAAGACTTACCATTTTCTCTATGCTAATGTTTCAGGCAAAGGCCTCCAAAGAGTGGTTGATAAGGTATAGGTCTATAAAAGATCAGATCTTCCTTTTCTTGTTGCTCTATTGAAGTCATCACTTTGAATTATTTGAGTATGCTTGGTTTTTCAGGTACCAGTGGCAGCAGTTGTGATTATGGCATGCAATCGCGCTGATTATTTGGAAAGGACTATTAAGTCTGTATTGAAGTATGTATCATATTGAACCTTTTTGTGTTTGTGGTAGGGTAAATTTAATTCAACCATACTGATTTCGTTACTTTGATTCAACAGGTATCAGAGCTCCGTTGCTTCAAAGTTCCCACTTTTTGTATCCCAGGTACCCTTTTATATCTATCATTTTATTTTATTATATTTTATGTCATGTTGCAATTTACAATTAAGTTCGTCACACACACACACACACACACACACACACACACACACATATGTGAAAAATAGACTGCATGAGGCGGCCCTGGAGGTAGAACAAATGATTAAGATGGACAGATGAAATGGGGTTTAATATCGCAATTAGTATGGGAGGATTCCGACTCCTTGGGCAGATTTTAAGAGATCCACCCTAAGAAAGTTATGGAGTAATTCGAGACATAGACATAAAACTGAATTGTTTCATTTCTACTTCCTGAAGCTAGAAGAAAGCCTTGCGTTCATTCTTAGAATTTTCAGGGCTCAGAATGATAAGTAAGGATCTTGAAACATGCATCAAATAACTATAAAAAGCCCCATTTTAATAAATCAAATTGAGAATTTAATCATCTTTCACTTATATATTGTGGAGATTCTTTATTAGAATATATTTACAGACTCAATTAATTGACTGAAATCACAGATGAAACCCTTAACACCACAATTACATATCTGATCAATCAAATTTTAAGAATTTTGCTTTCAAAAATCAATAATTATTCAAATTTCAAAGTTCTTGACATGCCAAGAATCTGCAGCATTATCTACCTGTTGGGAAACTTCCCCTGAAGTTTTAACATGTTGGATCAGCAAATCTCAACATTCATGAATGTCATCCATATTATAGGGCAAACAACCTCTTTATCTATTTTGTTCAAGTGAGGACTGGTTATGTTAGGAGACCCATGCTTCCCATGCTATTGGTTTTTGTGGGAATGACTAAATCCATAGTGACATTGCTTTGGTTTGAAGCTTGAATTTTTTCCTTCCGCCTCTCGTTTGACTTCAAACATGTTATTGATATAGCCTTAACACTATACTCGCCCATAATTTTCTATGGCTCAAAATTTGCATGGTTCCGAATTAGTTTGCATTCAACAGACTCTTGGTTGTACTTAGCTTCAGCAAAAGTGAATACATTTGTAAATTAAACTGATTTTTGCAGTCAATTTCTTTCATTATTATCTCTTTCTTGCAATCTTCTGATAGAGCAATCAGAACTCAGAAGCATCAATGAATAGCTTTTGTATCATACATTGAATAGCATAGGATCTTTTACTTTGGTTGTGAGACTAGTAGGCAAGCCAGTTAAGGTCTTTTAGGCATTGATGATACCCTTTATATATCCAATGCACCGACTTGATGAAAATGTCATCGAGTGTTAAGACACCAGCTATTGTTTTCATTTTCTTTTAATAACTCAGTGTGGCTCCCTCAAGAATCTCCCTATTGCAAGTTGTCTAGGTGAGAGGCCGGTTGCAAACAAAGATTGGCAACCTTGCTCTGATACCAAAACTGATGCAGCCATAGACTATTAGGATTTAGAATAAGATAAATGGATTGGAATTTGTGAAATGATCAGTGTTGCAAAGTTGTATGTCGTTTCATAGAAACAGAAGTACAACTTTGCTTAATCAAGCTTCAACCTTTGTTGTCCTAGAAATAAATTAAGTATCCAAATTTCATGTTCCTTGTATTTGGTCTTTCTGAATATATGAATTGCCATCATGGTATCCAGTTTCTCTTCCTCCATTCGGTTTGCTGAATAATTATATTCCAATTTTTAGGATGGATCCAACGCAGATGTTAGAAGCAAGGCTATGAGTTATGATCAGCTAATTTACATGCAGGTAAACTGTATCTCATACATTAATGTCAAACTGTATTTCATACATTAATGTCGAACTGTATTTCAAGGAAATGATTCATTTGAATTGTGTTTTCTTGTTTATTTTTAGTTTCTCCTTTTATTTATTGTCATATTTTGGCACAACGGCTGTGCAGGAATTGTTTTCTCATCCATTTAGCCTCTTTTTTCGATGTGGCAAATTCAATGTTTGAAGAGATATGTAAATTTACTGTAGAAAAATATTTTCTTCTATTTGATTCATCAATAGGGACACATATATACACATACAAGATGCTATAAACCTATTAGGAATCTAACTCCTAATAGAGTACCATTTACAACTAATCCTTAAAACTCCCCCTCAAGTTGGGGCATAGATATTAATCATGCCCAACTTGTTACAAAGATAGTTAATCCGAGGTCCATTTAGAGCTTTTGTAAAAATATCTCCTAACTGTTTACTTGTTTTAATGTGCCCTGTAGAGATAGCACCCTATTGTATCTTTTCACGAATGAAATGACATTCAATGTCGATATGTTTTGTTCGTTCATGGAATACTGGATTTGATGCAATGTGAAGAGCAGCTTGATTATCACAACATAACTTTGCAGGCAAGGATGACTTGAAGCCAATTTCTTCTAACAACTGACGAATCTAAATTAATTCACAAGCAGATTGTGCCATAGGTCGATATTCTGATTCAGCACTCGATCGTGAGACTACATTTTGTTTACTTGGAAGTGCAATTTTCTTCTAACAAACTGACGAATCTAAAATTAATTCACAAGCAGATTGTGCCATAGGTCGATATTCTGATCAGCACTCGATCGTGAGACTACATTTTGTTTCTTGCTCCGCCCACGATTAGGTCAAGTTTTCAAACCTAGCGAGGAAGACACAGATATCCTGAAGTTGATACTTCGATCATTCCTTCGAACCTGCCCAATTCCGCATCTAAAAACAACACTAATAATGCCTATGATTACTGTAAAGCAGGCCACGACCTGGATTACCTTTCAAGTAGCACAACATCATTCTAAAGCTTCCCAATGGATAACAGTAGGAGAAGACATAAACTGGATTATGACGCTCACAGAGTAAGCAATATGTAGACGTGTTACTGTAAGATAATTCAATTTATCCACTAACCTTTTATACATCTCAGGATCATCAAATAGCTTACCACCAATTGAAAGTTGCAAATTAGGAGTTATTGGCGCACTGCATGGCTTGGCACCCAACTTTCCAATTTCCTTCAGTCAGTCAAGGACATACTTCCTTTGAGATACTTCCTTTGAGATAAGAAGATGCCTCTCTTACACCTAGACACTTCAATACCCAAAAAATACTTCAACAATCTTAAGTCTTTTGTCTGGAACTGGGTTTGGAGAAATGACTTAGAGTGATGTAATGCCGGCTGAATCACTCCCTGTAATAACAATGTCATCAACATAAACCACAAGCAGAATCAAACTAGTCTTAGTACTTCTGAAAAATATAGAATGATCAGACGTACTCTTCTGCATGCCAAATTGATGTACCACATTGCAAAATCTACCAAACCAAGCTCGAGGACTCTGTTTTAGGCCATAAAGAGGTTTTCAAAGTTTACACACTTTACCTGACTCCAGAGGTTTTCAAAGTTTACACACTTTACCTGACTCCCCCTGTGCAACAAAGCCTAGTGGTTGCTCCATGTAAACTTCATCCTAAAGATCCCCATGAAGAAAGGCATTCTTAACGTCTAGCTGATGTAAAGGCCAGTCAAAAGTAGCTGCTAAAGAAATAAGTAACGAACAGAAGACAATTTGGCAACAGGAGAAAAAGTATCAGAATAATCAAGGCCATAAATCTAAGAATAGCCCTTTGCAACTAATCGAGCCTCAAGACGAGCAACAGACCTATCAGGATTTACTTTAACGGTGAAAATCCACTTACAACTAATAGCTTTTTTACCTGCTGGGAGAGGCACAAGATCCCAAGTACCATTAGTATCTAAGGCAGTCATCTCCTCTTTCATTGCTGCACACCAACCAGGATGGGATAAAGCTTGGGAATAAAGCTTGAACACAGTTTTTAGGGATAGAGACAGAGTTCTAAGGTTACTTACAAAACAAACGAGATTGCAGAAGAAGGATGATCATACTGATAAAAAGAGGAATAGGGTAGGTCTCTTGTTTTTACCTTTTTACCTTTTCGAAGAGTAATGGGAAGGTCAAGGTCTGACTGGAGAGTGGATGGCACAGGCTCAGGTTGAGTGGAGAGAACCGGATCTTCTGTTGAAGGAGCAGGTGGAGGAAGTGAGTCAAGAGTTTCTGGTCTCCTAGAATAAACCTGTTCAGAACGAGGGTGTGCAGATGTTGGTGCAGGAGCAGGAATAGGAGCAGTAGATGCTGGAGTAGGAGCAAATGCAAGTTCAGGAATAGGAGCAGGAGCAGGAGAGTTATGAAATTGCTGGATAGCATAGACTAAAAGCTCATCATCCTCTCCCTCACTCTTATATATAGAAGAAGGAAAAAATGGAGTATTCTCAAAAAATGTGACATCTGCAGAAATAAGATAACGGTCAAGATCGGGAGAGAAACAAAGAAACAACGATACCCTTTTTGATGCCGAGAATTCCTAAGGAAAACACAACTAAGGGACTTTGGATCTAATTTGTAAACCTGTGGACGAACATCACGAACAAAACAAGTTCAACCAAAAATATGAGGTTCAATGGGGAATAGAAGCTTAGAAGGAAACATGCAGTAGAGACAGCATCAGCCCAAAAATGTTTAGGGACCTTCATTTGGAATAGAAGTGCCCTAGCAACCTCAAGAAGATGTCGATTTTACCTCAAGAAGATGTCGATTTTTTCTTTCTGCAACCCTATTTTGAGAAGGAATATCAACACAAGATGTTTAATGGAAAATACCATTCTGTGACATATAAGATTGGAAGGAACTAGATAGGTATTCTTTAGCATTATCACTGTGCAATATGCAAATAGAGGTATTAAATTGAGTTTTAATTTCAGCATAAAAGGAGCAGAAAATGGAGAATATCTCAGAATGAGTTTTCATTAAAAATAACCAAGTAACACGAGAATAATCATCCACAAAAGTTACAAAATATCGAAAGCCAGTTTTAGAAATACAGGACATGGACCCCAAACATCAGAATGAACTAACTCAAAAAGGGAATGAAACCCGTTTAATTGACTCGAGAAACTAAAAGGTAAACGATGATGTTTTGGCAAATTGACAAGATTTCACATTCTAAATTGGATAAAGATTGAAAACTGCCCTACCACAACTTCTTTAAAGTAGACAATGAAGGATGACCCAAATTGACAATGAACCTCAAAGAGGAGATAGGCACCAGCACAAGCCAGAGATAATGAAACGTGTTCATCCAGAAGATAAAGGCCACCAGACTCACGTCCTCTACCAATAATTCGCTTCGTCAAAAGATCCTTAAACACACAATATGTAGGATAAAATTTGATATAACAATTCAACATACGAGTAATTTTGCTAATAGATAATAGATTAAACGAAAAACGAGGCAAACAAAAAATAGAAAACAATGGAAGAGATGGAATGGGATTGGCGGTGCCAATACACTTGACAGGAGATGTTGACCCATCAGGTAGAGTAACATGACGATTAAATTGTTCAGGTTCTTTTAATGAGGATAAGAGACTAGGGTTACCTGTCATGTGATCGGTGCAACCAGAATCAATGACCCAGCAACCAGAATCAATGACCCACTCTGATGAGGTAGACATAAGACATGAAGGAGGAGTACCTGAATTGGCAGCAGCAGCAATTGAGGAATCAGTAGACTTAGAAGAATGGTATCTAGAGAGCTCAGCATACTCCGCAGCAGAAATTGTTAAAATTGTTGTCAGAAGAAGGTATCTGCATAATTTTGAGTTGCCATATTTACCCTTAGTGGCTTATTTATCAGTTCATGGCAATAATGGCAGATAAGAATGCTTGCCTTCCGAGTGATTGGTCCATTACTATGGTTATTTCCTCCTCTTCCTCTGTTTCCTGGCTGTCAAGCTACCTGATTACGACTCAGAAGGGTATTATTATCAGAAGGGGAAGGCGTATGAAAACCTTTAGTACGTAGCAATCTAGCAAAAGTCTCTTGAAGAGAGGTAACATCACTGCCTGAAAGAACTTGTGATTTGGCAGTTTCAAAAACTGGAGCAAGACTTCAAAAACTGGAGCAAGACCTGCAAGAAAACTCATTACAGCCATTTGTTCTCACTGTGTCTGTTGAACCTTAACATCGGGACTAAAAGGCAATAAAACATTAAGTTCCTCATAGATCTTCTTAAAATCCATGAAATAAGCTGTAAGGGGCTTATCTTGCTGGTCGGCCCGATAAAATCCTTTGCAGACCTTATACATACGAGATAGATTATATTTCTCCGAGTACAAGAACTCAAAATATTCCATTAATTCTTTAACAAACTCACAATGATTGATTAACCCAACCACTTCACTGTCAATAGAATTGCGAATTAGTAGAAATAACTTAGCATCTTCCCTGAGCCAACGTGGCCTAGTGTCACCAGTTGGTGGATCATCAATTAGATGGTCATCTTTTTCAACACTTCGCAAATAAATTTGAATTGTCTTACTCCAATCTAAATAATTAGTTCCTTTCAATTTATGTTCTGTGATTTTATTCATTACTGGGATCAATTCAGTAATAGTAGTTTTAGTCCAATTCAGTAATAGTAGTTTTTAGAATCTCAATTTATGTTCTGTGATTTTATTCATTACTGGGATCAATTCAGTAATAGTAGTTTTAGAATCTGTAGGTTCAGGATCCATTATTAATAAAAACTAAACACCCTACCAGCAACGCAGAAAGAGACACCAAAAAAAATAGTCTTTCAATTCAAACAGAAGCGAAAGGTAACCTGAAACGCCAAATTGACAGAACTGAGAATGCCCCTATCAAAACTTTGCCGGATTGGAAAAACAACCGCCTGAGTAGACTGTTGACATAAAAACGAAGCCAGAAAGCAATTTCCGATCGTCGGAAACTGCTGGAAGCGCCGCCATGCGCCGCGCGTGGTACTATAGCAGTAACTTGTATCGGCACATGAGGCCCATGCGCAGGGAATCCGGTGACCGAATTTTGAGGGAACGCTGGTCGGCAGCTGGAGCAGCTCCTGGAGTAGGCGATGAGGCAAAACAGTGACCCTAGAATGGTCACGAACACTGACAGCCACTACGCGCAGGGAATCCGGTGACCGGATGTTGAGGGAACGCCGGAAGTTTCTATGCAAATGGGAAAAATCAAGTTTAAAGAGCCATAGGCTTTGATACCATGTAAATTTAATGTAGAAAAATACTTTCTTCTATTTGATTCATCAATAGGGACACATATATATACACATACAAGATACTATAAACCTATTAGGAATCTAACTCCTAATAACTAATTCTTAACAAGATAAAAAGGGTGCCAAGAGTTAGAAGTTGGCTTATTAGTATGGTGAATGATTGATCTTGCATTTTTGTCAAATAGACCTTTGGAACTCTACTTCTTTTCATGATTCTTCTTGCATCATTTTTGCACATTCCTTGATCTTTCAATTGCAAGAACAGATAATTTTTATTGTGTGCATATTTTAACTTTCTAAGCATATGGGAGAGGATATTTATTTGTATTTGTTTTTTCCTCAGCATTGAGTTTTAGCATTTAGTTTTGGTAGGTTTTAGCATGATGTTGGAAATGGAAGATCCTAGAGTCTTGTGTTTTGAGCTTCATAGAACTAAAACAAAGTATGCGCATTGAGTTTTGTCAATTCATGGGAAAATGAGGTAAGACGAATTAATTTGGATGGCCTAAAGTTCCAAATATGTAGTTTCTATTATACGAAGGGAAGTGAGAGTAAGGATGTCATTAATAGGATAAAAGTGGGAAGATTGAATGCAAGAAATGCATGATCCTCTTGTATAATTGTAAAATCATGTTGAAGAATTTCATCAAGTTTCAATTTGGTTGACAGTTTATGCCTGACATTTGGCTTAGCTCATGCTGGAGGATGCACATGTGTGCATATATAGCTTCTGCATGAGGATTCTCCCTAATGATTGAGATATTGACACCTGGAAAGTTGCAAGGAGCAATTACTGTATTAAAATGAACATAATTTATTAATTTAAGATATTAGAACAAGAGGTTGCTCAGCACTCTGGAATCTTTATCGAGCAAAAACATGTTAGAGCTTCCTATCTAGATTTAATGGAACTAAACTATCGATAAATTGCTTTCATTGTGGAATTATTAAAACAATGGGAATGTTGAAGTGGGAGTGTGTGTGCAAGTACTGATAGATACATAAAAAACTGCAGAGTAATTTTCGTATCTCAGTATAAGGATAACTGAAAATAAAAGAGGTAGGAAGGATTTATATAAAACTTCTCAACCAAACTGAGTTTCTAATGTTTAAAATATACAATTAAAAATTGTCTTAACAGAATCAATCTTCTGATTGCAGCACTTGGATTCTCAACTAGTGTACCCAGAAAGGCCTGGAGAGTTGATTGCATACTACAAGATAGCACGTAAGGAATGCTTTCTTTGCTTAATAGGTTCATGAACTTCTTGCACTTAAACACTTAAATACTTGCATCGTGTAGGGCATTACAAATGGGCATTGGATCAACTATTCTACAAGCATAACTTCAGCCGAGTAATCATACTTGAAGGTTGATTATTCATATCCACTTTTTCATTTTAACCCACTTTATTTACTTGCATAAGCTAGATATATTACATCTATAGTTTTCCTTCCAACTCAGATGATATGGAGATTGCCCCTGATTTTTTCAATTATTTTGAGGCTGCAGCAGATCTTCTTGACAAGGATAAGTATGTTTTATGTATGAAGTCGACCTTATAAGCATTAAATTTCATTTCAGTAAAGTTAGAGATCGTAGTCTTGCAATTACTTTCTTTTTCCCCTCAATTTTTATTTGTCATGATAGGTCCATAATGGCTGTTTCCTCATGGAATGACAATGGACAAAAGCAGTTTGTTTATGATCCTTGTAAGTTTTTTGTTTTTTTTTGTTTTTTTTTTTTGTTTTTTTTGGGGTTTATTCTCCATACTTAAGTTCTTTGTTACAATTAACTGAAACGATTCCTTGGAATTCATTTCTTTGTTATAATTAACTGAAACAATTCCTTGGAATTCTCTGGTTGTTTCCTCTATGTTCATGTCTATTAGCTCATAAGCATCTGTTTATCTTTTTATGGGAAGCTTTTTTGGCTAAACCTACAAAATTACCATCAACTATGCGACTTGTTACAAAATCACTCAAATTTGACCTTTGTACCCCGGCACCCCCATTTTGAAATATAGATATTTTAGCAATCTATTTTTAAATTGGGCTAGGGTTTGAAATAAAATAATAAAAACGTGGGATGGGACCCATAGGTTAAGCTAACCCAAAAGCTCAAAAAACAGTCTTAAATCACCAATATCCTTTTTTAAAAGCAAATCCACAATATAATTCCCATTATCGGTGACAAAGGCTCACCATTTTTACTGTCTCCGTTTCTCCTCAACTTGGCAACCAAACATCTTTCTTGTGTAAATTTCCAACAGAAAGGTAAAGTCTCTGCAGGCTTGATTAGCTCCAATATGAGGAACCAATTTTGACTTGTCAACAAAATTTCAATCATTTTCTCTCTTAATAAAGAACCACCTCGTCCTTTCATCAAATTCAGATAGGAATCGACCTTATCGGTGTTCTCGGTGTCAAGATCGACATTGGGGTGAGAATCAAGATCAGATAAAGGAATACCCAGAGGTAAAGCGTGTTGGTGAGTCTTTTTTGAAGTGGGTATTCCAATACTGTTTTTTTTTTTTTTTTTTTTTGAATCAGATCAGTATAAAGGATAACCCAGAGGTAAAGCGTGTTGGTGAGTCTTTTTTTGAGTGGGGTATTCTAATACCTGTTTTTTTTTTTTTTTTTTTCTCCAAGAGATTAGCAATTCGATCGATGACGTATTTGGTGGTGGAGTCGGCACTGAAGGCCGAGAAACTATACCAAGATTGACCGAAGTCGAACAACTTCATAAGCTGCAAATCTTTTTTAAGTTCGTCCTAAGGTAAAGAATAACTTAAGGCTGGATATAGGTGTAAGTAGGAGATAAAAGGTCCTATCTCTATTGATAACTTTTTTCTGAGGCCAATCAATGGTTGACATGAAATAGCCCATTTGTTCGCTTCTTGTAAAGTTATAAGAAAAAAAAAAAAAAAAAAAAAAATCAGAAGCAGAGACAAAGCAGAGATAGAGACAAAAAGCTTATGCTAGACTATGAAGAACACTCACGATCTGCACAAAAGAGGAGGATGAGGAATCGTTGAAGGAAAGGAGAGGGAATTTTGGGAGAGAGAAATTATCATATCAAACAGTGATTTGAGCCCTTGGTTAAGTTACCCAAGTTCGAGTTATGGGTCCCACGTTTAAATCGTTTTATTCCAAAACTCAGTCTCCATTAAAAAATGTGATGCTAATATATCTATGTTTTAAAATGGGGATGCCTAGGATACAAAGGTCAAATTATAGTGATCTTGCAATAGGTCGTAGTTGAGGGTATCTTTGTAGGTTTACCCAGGCTCACCCCCCCCCCCCCCCCCCCCCTCTCTCTCTCTCTCCCAACACACATACACACACCCACCTATTTGGTGGGATAGTGTTGGTCATGGTTGTACAGGTATCTTGTTTGTTCTATTTCTGATTTGTCCTTCATGTGTTGGTGCATGAGTTGTGGGATTCAATGCTTAGTCAAAACATACATGTATTGTCACACAGACAACAAAAAGTTTTAGGAAAGTCAAATTGAGTTAAGAACTAAGTTAAATTAATTTCTCAAAACAGGCAAAGAACAAAATTGAAAGGATTGGTCAAAATTGGCAATTTTCACAATGGTTCATTTTTTTTTTTTTTTTTTTTTTTTTTTTTTTTTTTTTTTTTTTTTTTTTTTTTTTGTGTAAATTAAGAATTTTTTTTTTTTTTTTTTTTTTTTTGTGTAAATTAGAACTTTTAAGTTCATACTCTGTTTGCTTCTTTATTTTTGGGGTGATGGATGTGGGTGATGAGGTACAATCTTTCTACGTTTTGTGGCTTTCTTGAATGGTCTATCTGATTAGTTAGTTGGTAAAGCAATAACTTACCAAGGTGATGATCAATTGCTGGTCTCAGGGGATAACAAAATAAGAATAAAACATTATGTTGAATTTGGATTGAACTGGAAGAAAACAAACTTTGTGTTAAATGTGGAGTGAATTCACAGGTCTTATGGTATTGCCTAATAAGATTACACACGATTACCTGCCATATTTTTGAATCTACATGCATGTCCTCAATCTTGCAATTAAGATGATTCGTGATTGGATAGTCCTTGTACCTGGGGTGAAAAATGTAAGGGCCTTGGCCTAAAATTAAGCCTGAGACTTAGATCTGGGCCAATATTTTTAGGTCTAAGTAAAATTCCAGCCGTTATCAAGTTTAGGAATATCAAATCAGCAGAGTCCCAAAATATGTAAAACTGTATGTATTATTTATATTATGATATGTTTCATAAATTTCATAGATGTGGTCCATTGCATAAAATTGTAGTATATAATACATTAGTTGTACTTGTATTCTCATACAAGAAAAAATAATTTAATTTTTGCATATAATGAAACAATAACTTAAAAAATTCAGGCAAGGACCAAATAAGTTGTTTTGCTATGGTCAGACTTGGGCTTAGATCTATGAGCACAATTGGTCAATGCAACCTTAGCTCTGTGTTCAGACAGTGGTACCTAAGTGCAAAAGGGTTCAGTGCTACTCTGTCTAAGCTTCCTGTAAAGGGTCATTGGAATTCTCTCTCAGTCATTCCACTTGTCTAACTCAACATCTTTGTTTTACTTGCACTTTTTCTATAAACAGATTTTTGTCACTTCTGATGTCTCTCTGTCTCTCTCTAAAATGTTTCTATGTCCATATAAACATAAATTTAACTTGCATTGAGCATGAGCCATATATGTTTGGAAAAATTTGCATTGTAATTTTAAAACCAAATTTTATGTCACCTTCATTCTCTGATCTAATGTGTAGTAATGCGTTCTGCAGATACACTTTATCGGTCAGATTTCTTTCCTGGACTGGGATGGATGCTTACTAGACCAATATGGGATGAACTATCCCCTAAATGGCCAAAAGCATATCCTTTTTGGTTTTACAGTATTCTTTATTTATTTGTTTATTTTGTCAGGCTTTGTCAATTGGTTTGTTGCATCTCTAAAAAATTTCCCTTGACTAAAAGCTCACTTACTGGGATGACTGGTTGAGGTTGAAAGAGAATCACAAAGGTCGACAATTTATTCGTCCAGAAGTGTGCAGAACGTATAACTTCGGTGAGCATGTATGTTCCATATATCTTGAGAATACAGACTGAGCTTGCGATACAAGTGTTGATCCTTGTTAATCCATCAATGATCATTTAGTCATTTATTTATGTTTGTGCACTATTTATTTGGGCTGTTAACGGAAAGTGAACACAAACCTGTCCGAGTTTCATGACTCCTGTCGCTACAGGAGATTGTCCTTGACTCTTAAAGTAGTTCATTACATTAACAAGGATACATACATCGGGTATACTTGCAACATGAATTTATTTTCATAAGCCCTAAACTCTAGGTCATTGCAGTGAAGTGCTCCAAAATATAACATACTGTCTCACTATTAGTATTCTGGATTGGTAATGGCAGGGTTCTAGTTTGGGCCAGTTTTTCAAACAATATCTTGAGCCTATTAAGTTGAACGATGTCCAGGTAATACTAATTTCTGTTCCATATTCTTATTTCTACTTTGAAATTTTGCATTTAATTTTTTAATGATCAGGATTTTGTACATTTTCCTTGTGCAAAAGGTTGACTGGAAGTCCATGGATTTGAGGTACCTGATGGAGGTAATAAATTTAATATTTCATATAAAAAGTTGAAGAATCATTTTTTTCAACTTTGTTCAATGAAGTGTATTTTCTCTTCCTAGGATGAGTATCCAAAGTATTATGCCAACATTTTGAAAAAAGCTAAAGCTGTCCATGGAAATGATGCTGTTCTGAAGGCGTATAACATAGAAGGCGATGTGCGTATCCAATACAAAGACCAATCAGACTTCGAACGAATTGCACGCCAGTTTGGTATTTTTGAGGAATGGAAGGTATTTCTTTCTCTTTTGACTGTAGCTTGAATTTATGCAAAATGGACAGGTAAATTATTTGTTTTAATTTGGTGTTGTTGCATGTAAATGTCTTCATTTTTTCTGGTCGTTTCAGTTATGGTTGTGGCTTATTATGTAGTTCAATGTGATTTTAACTTTGAGATAAAATAAAACAAAGGTTATCATAATTATTAGGAACGTATTGTTTTTTTTTTTTTTTTAATATTTTGGACCATGTTTGGATCAAAAGTAAATAAAATGAACAGGTAAACAAAGAAAATTTAGTTTCATTTTTAAACAAACTAAAATTTTGCCTTGCATTTTTTTATCCCATTTTAGTCACAACAGCACCCATACAGGTAAATGCTATTAGAGAAATCATGCATGCCTATTGAGTCAACAATGTGATAAACTTTTCTCTATTAATTCCAGACCAAATTTATATACTTAAGCCTTATATACAACTATTGAAACAATTGTGCCCTTCTTTATTTAATTTTCTCTTTCACCTCTTATTTATATACCTATACCTTTTTTTTTTTCATCATTTTTTTAGGATGGAGTACCGAGGACAGCATATAAGGGAATCGTTGTTTTCCGATATCAAACGCAAAGACGTGTCTTCCTTGTGGGTCCTGATTCACTGAGGCAGCTTGGTATTGAAGATGCTTGATGCTAATGTTTAAATGAGGTAGATAACATGCATTATTTGTATTGTATTGCAGTTATCTTTTATCGAACTCGATCATAAGGCCAAATAAAAAAAATAAAAAAAATAAAAAAAAAAAAAAGAAAAGAGAGTAGATATACCATGCATTTCATTTGTATTGTATTGCACGTTATCTTTTTATCGAGACTCGATCATTTTCAAGGCCCAAATAAAAAAAATAAAAAAAATAAAAAAAAAAAAAAAAGAAAAGAAAAAGAAAAGAAGCCTTCAAACTTCAAGTGTTTTTTCCATAAACAACTTTTGACTTTGGACAAGATTTGTCTTCTGACAAAAAAAATAAAAAAAAAAAAAAGAAAAGAAAGAAGAAAGAAGCCTTCAACTTCAGTGTTTTTCCATAACAAACTTTTGATTTGGACAGATTTGTCTTTGACTGAGATTTGATGAATGATAAAATTGCAAAAATATATTGCTTAAATTTATGCAAATTAAAAGCTCGTACTAGAATTTAAAAGAATGATAAAGTTAGACATCATTTTTTCAGCATCGGTTTTGATATCTGTTCTGTTTCTTCTATGTTATTAGATATCAGGGTTTCTAAGGATTTATGAACTGGGTGGATTGACAAGCCAGGGTGAAATGATTCGTCGATACGGTTTGGTTATTCAGGTAGCAGTCTCGTACATGCTTTTCCTCGCCAGTTTTTCCAATTTTTTTTGTCCCATTTCTGCATTGATAATATATTGGAAGCTAATTCTTGTGACTTGGCACCGTGTGTTCAGTTGTTCACTGCATAATGTTTTCACTGCATACAGGTAAGATTTCATTAGGAATTTTGTAGATCTAAACTTTCTAACTCTTGCCAATTTATGATGTAAGGCTCTTTCTCAATGTATGGTAAATCCAAAGTTGAATTGATGTCCAACTCTTTTCTTTTTTTCTCTTTTTGAAAAGGAAAAGAAATTTTCTATTGAGAAAATACTTTTATTAAACCCCTCTTATTTGCTATGTTCTTGTAGTTTGTAACTTAGCTTTGCTAATGTCAAATCATAGTATTCTGGTATTTGTGATGAGAAGTTGTTTTGATAGGAGAATGTGTGTTGGTGTGTTTTTTTTTTGGTTTATTTTTTTCCCAAAGATAAATTACTATTTTAATTCTCAACGGTAAAGAGTTCACTTTTGAAAGGAAAGACCCGATGACAGGACGGAAGCAAAAATTAGAAATGTTAGTTATTTCTCATATTTATTGAAAGTAGTGGGATGAGTATTTTCCTTTAACACACTATTATTACTGTTCAGTTTGAGACAAATTTCTCTCTATCATTCTACTTTTTAACACAAATTTTGTATTATAGAGAAGGGCTTGATATAGACAGATTATATAATATCATTTTATATTCATACATCTAAATGTTATATACTGTGAGAATATGTAATGTACACAAGCTCCGAAGGAGTCGTAGGAAACAAAAGATAGGTGGTAGTTGTTGCCAAGACATAGTAATTATAATCTATGGTTTTATGCTTTTTGATTCAATGGAAGGTTTAATGGGCCGAAATAATAATGTGGGTTACATATCAGGGGTGGTCTTTTTTCGACTCACCAAATTGATGAAAGCACTTATGGTTGAAAATGATTCGATTTTGAGAAAACCAATCAGATTACACTTGATTGACATCTATGGTTCTATGTTGATATTTTCAAAGCGAAAAATGTTATTAGTGAAGCAAAGTTTGGCCGAATATATAAATTCACTTTTGAACTTTGTTACTTTAATGTTGTGGTATCATCAACTTTCACTTTGACCCATCAAATATTTTAATTTATAAAATTACTCTTATTAAAAATTTAAAATTAAAATTTATTTTATTAAACACTTTAACTTGTAAAATTAGATCAATTAAACACTTATTAAAAAGTTGAAAATTATAAAAATTATTGTTTCAAAAGTCATGTTATGACATATCAATTGATATTTTGCAGATAAAAGCTGAAATCCGTAAAAAATTTTAATATTAGTGTCGAAAATTGTGTAATATTATTAAAATGTACAAATTCAATTGTATGATAAGTCATTCGTAAAATTTAGGGTGCCACAAGATTAAAGTTGTAAAGTTCAAGGTGAATTTATGTGTTTAGCCTGCAAAGTTTATTACGTGGACAAAATTAATATTTTCATCCACTCTACTCATTTCTTGCCTCTTTTGAAGAATTACTTCCATTGAGAATCTGGGTCTAAACCCTGTGTGAAAATCAATAATAGATATTGTCAAACACGAGGCTCTTGCAATCAAACAAATTAGTATTACTAAGCTTGATTGCAGAAGATTTTAGTCGAATCCAATGGTCTGTTTATTTAAAATCAAGGAGTTGGGTGCTTTGAAATTTTTTCTTAGACTTTAAATAGTCAAATCTAGAGCTGGCACTTCAACTTGTCAGCGCAAATATGCTTTACAACTTTCGTTTGACATTAGCTACTTGGCCTTTTAACCGAGAGAAACCCCTATGAGTTTGCATCTCAAGCTTAGCACCAATACTGCAGATCACATATCGGATTCTTCATCATACAGAAGGCTAGTTGGAAAATTGCTTTATCTAACAACAGGAAGCCCAAACATTACAATTGTTGTCACTTAGCTTAGTCGATTTCTTTCTAAACCTACTACCATTCATGAACAAGCATTGCACAGCGTATTACTCTTAACAAAGGTTTATTTTTCTCTCTCCATCTCCATTTCGTCTTAAAGCTTTTAGGGACTCAGATTGGATTGGTTGTATCAACACATGATGGCCCATTACAGGGTTTAATGTGTATCTTGGATAGTTCTTTATCAGTTGGAAGTCCAAAAAGCAACCAACTGTTTCAAATCATCTTCAGAAGCCAAATATCGTGTATCTTCTTCATGATCTCCACATTTCTGACCTTTTGCTGGCTATGATAATAAATCAATATGCTCCTTAACATTGCAACAATCCAACTTTCCATGAACGTACAAAATATATTTTGAACGTGGTTTCACATTGTTCGTGAGAGAGTTTTATCTAGTCTTTTTCATCTGCTGCCAATTTTCTGTAATGCTCAATTGGCTAATATTTACACTGCTCTTGCTTTTCCATGATTTTAGAGTCTACTGCTCTTGCGGGGAATGCTCCATATATATTCTCCAAGTTGGGTGGGGGCGTTCCTGTCAGAGAAGCATGCGGAAGAAGAAAGTTATATTAGCTAGATAGTTAGGTTAGATGGTTTAATTAAATTGTTGAGAAGTTTGCTTTGCTGAGTTTTCCCCGCCAAATGCTATTAATGTTTTTCCAGATTAACATTTCCTTTACCAACTTTTCCTTGATGGGTTATCTCTTCCTTGTTGGAGCCTCTTGATAGAATAAGGAACTCTAAGTTTAGAGCAAGAGCAAGCCATATCAATTGACTATGAAACTTTGCAAATAAAATTGAAGTCTCTTAACTCCTTAAATTTCATTTCTTTCAAATATGTAATCAAAATCAGGTAATCTAGATACAAATGATAAAGAGGTAGAACCTAGATGCTTGTCTGACACTTGGCCAAGCTACCAAATCTTTCAAGAGACATGAAAATGCGCTAGATGTGATCCGAAGAAGTATAATAATATTCTTAATTCATTCAAATTTGAAAATCCTATTTAGTTTTGTGTTACGCATATTCAAATATGGGAAATTAATGCATTATTTATTTTACAGGTAGTGACAAACACATGATTTAGATTTAACGGTAAACTATACACTTAAATTTATATTGGGATTACTTTTTACTTTGTTTTATATTGATATAAATTGTTCCCGTGCATGTGAAACTTTGGGTTTTAAGGCATTTTCTCTTTTTTTTTTTTTTTTTTTTTTTTTTTTTTTTTTTATAGTTGAATATAAATTGTTCCCGTTGCATGTGAAACTTTGGTTTTAAGGCATTTTTCCTCAGGTTTTTTTTTTTTTTTTTTTTTTTTTTTTTTTTGAAGTTAAAACTGAGAAGAATTTATTACCGACATCAAGAAATCAAAGTACGAAGCAGGAGGTGGACACGAATTTCAATCCCCCATCTTGCTTTTTTTTTTTTTTTTTGAAGTTAAAATGAGAAGATTTTATTACGAAATCAAGAAATCAAGTAGAACAGGAGGTGGTACAGAATTTCAATCCCCCAAGCTTGCTTTGGAATGTGTTCCAACTGCTAATGTATGTGCAACCACATTCGCAGATCTATAAACAAAATTACATTTTGCGACTGGTATCTCAAACAAAAGAGATTAACAGTCCTGAATTATCAAACCAAAAGCAGACGCGTCATTCGTAGTAACATTATTGATTGAATTTGCAACTGACTGAGAATCAGTTTCCAATAAAATATAATTTCACCCGTGATCCTTGATCCAGCTCAAAACTTCTCTCGCGGCTATGGCCTCAGCCACCTTAGCATTGAAAAAACCCGAAAATCTCCACGTTTTACCAGCACTAAACTCAGAGGTTGAATTCCTAACTACTGTGCCAATTGCCACATAACTAGGAGCGCCTCTAGTTGAAGCATCCGTGTTCACTTTTAACCAATTAAACGGGGGTGGACTCCATGTACGATTTGAGTTTGCTGGAGAAGGAACTACCAAACCATGAAGCTTAGCTTCCTTCCATGTGTGCCAAACACTCATAGCTAGCAAAATTACTGCCCTTGGATTCCTGATTTTTTGACGCTAGACCATATCATACCTGGTGACCCATTACGCCCAACACACCATAGAAACATAACTCAAATTCTCCAAAGTCAAGGAAGTTGAGGCTTGCTGAAACCACTCCCCAAAAGACATAGCTGAAGACCACCGAAACCCAAGATGGGAAAGAGTCCAAACTTGTCTTGAAAAAGGGCAGTTGACAAGAATATGAAGATTAGTTTCAGAATATCCAAGACATAGAGGGCAAATATCTTGAATGTCCACCTTCCGAGATCATAAATTCCTCCTACAAGGTAGAACATCACATACAGCACGCCAAATGAAATTAGTAACTTCGAGTGGAATCTTCATCTTCCACAGCTGAGTACAACTTACAGTAGACATAAATTGTGACGCAAGAGGGTTATGCAGAAGTAACCTGCAAGCACTCTTGATTGTGTATGCACCTTTTGTGTCAAATTTCCAGCAAACTCAGTCATCTCCCATGTGATTACTTAAAGGAATAGAAAGGATACAAGCAACATCTCTTTCATTGAATAATCGTCGAATTCGCTCGACATCCCATCTTCGTTGCACAATAAGATCCAAAACCAGGAAAGCATTACTGTCGTGTGGTCTAGGAGTGGAGATAAAAGAACACTCTTTGTCAGATAGCCAAGGAGAATCCCAAATAAATATGTTGGAACCACTACCAACCCGCAAATATAATCCTCCTTGAATCAAACTCTTAGACTCCCAAATGCTTCGCCAAACATAACTCGGATTTGAGCCAAGATCAGCTTTCAGAAAACTACAATTCGAAAAATTCTTTGCTTTCAAAACACGTGCAGCCAATGAATCTGGGCTTACCATGAGTTTCCAGCCCTATTTACCTAGAAGAGCTATATTAAATTCATGAATTTTTCGAAATCCTAGCCCTCCGAACACCTTTGGGATAACCATTTTGTTCCAAGCAAGCCAATGAATGCCCTGAGAATAATTCCCCGCACTTCCCCACCAGAATAGATTCAGGATACGTTCCAATTCCGTACATAAAGTCTTGGGTAATAAGAAAAGACTCATAAGATAATTAGGTAAAGCATGAAGAACCGCTTTTAATAGAATTTCTCTTCCCGCACGGGAGAGAGACTTTAGCTCCCACGAGTTTAAACGCTTCCACATTCAGTCCTTAATGTAATTAAAAACCTCCTTCCTATTCCGACCCATATGTGACGGTAAACCCAAGTAAGTACCTAAAGTATCCTTTTCCGTAACCTGTAGTAGGGAACATATTTGATTTCTGGAGTGCCGAAGGGTATTAGCACTGAAAGTAATGGAAGACTTATTTAAATTTATCTGCTGCCCTGATTCTGCCTCATACAAAGCTAAAATATGTTTGAGGGATTGTGATTCTTGAACCGAAGCCTTCAAAAACACCAAACTGTCATCATCGAAAAATAGATGAGAAATTAATGGTCCACCCCGACAAACTTGAAAACCACTCAGATTACCATTCTGAATCGACATCCGAATCATGTTTGATAAGCCTTCAGCACAGATGATGAACAAGTACGGGGATAGAGGGACTCCCTGTCGCAAACACCGAGTGGGGATAATGGGCCCAAGCTCTCTGTTATTCTACAAAATTCAGTACTTAATCGAAGTTAGACTAGACATGATAAGATTAATCCATAGGGCATGAAAACCCAACTTAGTTAGTATTTGACGAAGAAAGGACCACTCCATTCTGTCGTATGCTTTGCTGATGTCCATTTTGACAGCTGTAGAAAAATTAGAACCCCTAGTCTTCCTATGAAATGCATGTAAAGCTTCAAAAGCAAGAATACAATTATCTTGAATATTTCTACCCGCAACAAAGGCACTCCGGCTTTCCAAAATCAGAAGCGGAAGAATATTGCGAAGATGATTTGCTAGCAGCTTAGTAATGATTTTTAATAGAACATTGCAAAGGGCAATCGGTCTCAAATCAGTCATAGATTCGGGGGATGATTTCTTAGGAATCAAAACCAAACCAATCACATTCAGATGATCAGGAATAGACCCGCTGTGAATTATCTCAATACAGTTCTGAGCAATATCATTACCTATAATGTCCCAGTAGCCTTGGTAAAAACCAGGATTGAACCAGTCAAGTCCCGAGGCTTTGTCGGCCTTCATGTCAAACACTGTTGCCCGAACATCCTCAATTGAGTAAGGAGCTAATAAGAACTCATTTTGCTCCTCAGTGATAACAGGCTAAGTAAAATCGGAAACCAACGTAGAGGTGCAACTTTGGGAAGCAAACACATTAGTAAAATAACGAACCATATGATCCTCTAACCCGGAGTTCAAGTAACAACAGTTTCCAGATTCATCTCTCAAAGAAGAAATCCGATTCTGTTGCTGACGGGCTGAAGCTCTTCGATGGAAGAAACGGGTATTAGCATCACCTTCCTGCAACCAGAACTCTTTGGCATGTTGTTTCCAAAAAATTTCCTTCTGTAACAAATAATTCTTGATACCTATTTTTTGCCTCCAGAAACCGGACATTATCCCTTGTGGTACGAGAACTTCTTGTAGCAGCCAGGACAGCCATGCAAGTCGCAAATTCCCCTTTTTGATAATGGCGAAGTTCTTCCCCCCAGACCTCAAGAAGTGCTTTGCAACGAGAAATCCTTTCAGATAAAGCCATACCCGCTGTCTCTAACCAACAACCCTTAATCAGATCCTTACAAACAGCCTCCCTCCTCCAGCTATTCTCGAAATGGAATCGTCTAGCCTGAGCCCTAGGCACAAAGTGGCGTATTTCAAGGTAAATTGGAAGATGGTCGGATGAAGACTTATCAAGAACCATAGCCCGGGCTTGAGAGAAATTTCGTCGCCAAGAGTTAGTGGCCAGAACATGATCAAGTTTTTCCTCAATTAAATTGCCGCTAGAGCGACCATGTTCCCAAGTGAAGGCATAACCAGACATAGGAAAATCAGTCAAATGTGCATCCGAGATAGCAGCTTAGAATCCCCAAATAAGATGATTAAGCTGAGCCCTACCCCCTCTCTTTTTAGACGAAGCAAGAATATCATTAAAGCCTCCTAAACACAACCAACGCAAGTCGCTATGAGAAGCTAAAACACGAAGTAACTACCAAGAATTATTTCTTCTGGATCTATTTGGGTCACCATAGAAACCCGTGAGCCACCAAACACCAAAACAGGGCAAATCCACTTCAACATCTATATATCTAGAACTGAAACTAATAAGATTTACTGACGAAACACCCTTTCAGAGTAATGCCAAACCACCACTATGGCCAACACAATCAACATTAACAAAACCGTCATAATCTAATAAAGATTGTATTTCCACAACTTTATTAGAAGCACAAAAGGTCTCAATAAGAAAAATAAAATTTGGCTTTTTATTACTAATGATAACCCGTAAAGTACGTACTGCTTGTGGATTGCCAAGTCCACGACAGTTCCAGCTTATAGTACTCATGTCTGATGGCGGGTCGGACTCACAGAACCTGCCAGTAGCCCCATTTTTTGAACTTGAATTGTTGTAGAGAGCTCTTCATCTTTTTCAAAAACAAGTCTATCCTCTTCCTCAACGTTGACTGATAAGTTAGCCACCTCCCCCGAAATTTGGTCTTCATCCTCCATCAGAAAACTTGTCAACGACAAGACCTAAACCAGAAGAACTCTCCAGGAAGAGGGACGAAAACTCTCTAGGAAGAGAGACGAAACAACTGCAGAACCAAAACTGCAGAATATTAGAAGTGAGAAAGGTAGCTTGCAACGCGTTCACGTTCATAATTTAGCTCCTTATTCACTCTGTCATTTTCACAAACACTTGGCAGGCACATATTTCCTACCGAAGATATAATTACTTTCTCCGTCTAAACCAAATCTCTAGTTTTCAACTGCTCTTAACAAGCAAAAGCAACAGACCTCTACCTCAAATTTACCATTCCCACGGTACAGAAGCAACGGCACAACATTTCAACCGACTCCAAATGAATGATAATGCAGTTTGAAAGCCAGAAAGAAACTACTCACAATTCGATTCCCTTTAACACGGACAACTACCTGAATACTGCTCAAAAAAGCCGCATTTGAAGGATTTAACAGAGCTTCTGTCTCGTTGACATCATTATTATTATTAGTCTGCAAGATTATTAAGCTCTAGCTATATAAAGAGCAAAACATTAGAGAAGGAAATGAACAGCGCTAGTTCAACCGTTGAATACTTCAGTTTGAGCAGAGCTTGTCAGTCATGGAGCGAGAATCAGGCGAAGCAAAAAGGACATTGCATTCAGCCGTTTGAAGTGCTACAATCGGTGCATCACATATAATATTTCTTAAATATATAATAACGTAAAAATACTGTGCAAAACGAGGTTGGGATATTCTTTCTGGTTAACTTAAAGAGGAATCTGAAGGCATTTTCTCTTAAAAGTGTATTTTAGTCAATTTCATACCTTTTGATTTGAGCCTATTGTGGGGTATGGTTTGAGCCATTTTTAACGTCGGATTGATGTTTGCAGTTGTTTGGATGCGTTCTTTAAGCATTTACTTTATAGGGGTAAAATGGTTAGCGTGATGCATGTAATATGAGGTCCATATTGGATTAGTATTAAGCAATTTAACATGAATATAGTAGATGGAGTTCATTTGAAGATTTTGATAATGATTTTGCCCTATGACGATCTTAGGGCATTTTGGTTATTTTTTGCTATTTTGATAAAAAGTTCATGTTTGATGTATTTTGGTATATTGGAAGTCATTATAGAGTTTGAAAATTAATTTAAAAATTAATTTAAGGCATTTTGAGGATAATTTGACTTGAAATGGTGCTAAGAGTGTATATTTTGGTTATTATTATGCAATTATAATTTTAAATGTAAATTTGGTGAAAATTTGGTTTATTTAAAGTTAGGAAAAATTATAATTGTACCACCTATATTTTTATATAGAAAAAAAAATACTATACTATTGTCTTTCCAAAAATAGATTATAATACCCTCATAGTAAATTTTTAGACTAGATTACCCTTTTGTGTAATATTTACAATTTTAGACGTTAAATATATATAAAATGATATAATTGACCTATATTTCACGTACCCCGATCTCTAATTATCTCCTCCTTCAAAACTTTCTCAAAACTCTAAATTTCAATTGGCACTAAATGAATATATTACACAGTATTGTAATAAGAACTACAACATTAAACAACACTGTAGCAACAAGCAGCTTCAAAAAATATTACAACAAGAATTCAAAGAATTAATCTAATAAATTGGCACTTTGTGGTTGAATCCGCTATTGTTGAAGAAGTCCAAAGTTGTTGAGAAAGCAACTAACGTTGGCAGGAATGGGAGCTGCTCTTGCGAGCGAATCAGCTGTAATTGGAATGCTTTCAATGGCTAGAAAGCCTATAAGGTGCATGCGAAGCGAGTCATTAACCAGGAAGCGACCGACGAATTCTGTATTAAGCCCTATTGCCAAATGGAGTTAGCTCATAGTGTTTTTCAAACACTTGAGCATATTGCATTCTTGATTTCATAGAATTCTTGGTCATGAAAAGCAGTTTCTTCCTCAGAATTATACAGTACATCCATTTCCATTGATAAAAATAAAGATTTACAAATCAAACAAAAGTGACAAATGAAAAGACTGCGAGATGCCTTAGAGTGAAGCAATTCAAGTGTTTGAGATATGCCATCAAAAGAGCCCTGATATTATGAGAAGAGAGGAGCTGGATAGCTTTTATTTTTTGTTCATTGTAAAAAAATATTTGAGGAGAACGGTTTGTAGTATAAGAGACGAAGGGAAAGAGGGTATTTTAGTGAAAAATTCCTTCTTTCTCTTTAGACTATCAAGTGTTCCTCAGCCTTGTACTTTAAAATTACAAATAGTAGACGAAAGAGCAATCTAATATGATAGATTCAAAATACGTAGTTATAACAATCTATTTTTAAAAAGATAAAGTGTAAAGTATTTTTTTTTTTTAGCCAAAATATAGGGATACGATTATAATTTTCCCTTAAAGTCAAAATGGAAGTTGAATTTAATTCGATATTATAGGCATAAATTTGTTAGCCGCCATTGTTGAAAACAAAAGAAAAAAAGATATAAAAAAATTTGTTTAGCTCAATCCCACATCGGGGAGAAGAGCTTATGAAGGATAGTAGATTGGCTATAAAAGGAAGTAAGGTTTAAGTTTCTAAACACACCAAAAACACTTGAATGTGTTTTATATTAGGGAGTCTCTTGGAATCCCCTGGAGTATAAAATATTTGAGGTGTTTTTGAGGGTGTCGGGTAGAAAAATATTTTGTAATTGTGGTCGTAACAATTTGCCACATAGTGAATATTTTTCTTGATTGTCGTTTGGCAACGGCCGTGGTTTTTCTCCACTTGGGGGGTTTTCCACATTAAACTATCGTGTTCTCTTTAATTTCTCAGTCATTATTTTATTTTCTCATTTGTTCCTGCTTGAAGCCGATCCGAAGGGCATTAGGCTGAGTTCTCTTGTGAATCGCTGGATATAAAAATATTTTGAGGTGTTTTAATGCAGGGTGTCGGTAGAAAAATTATTGTTGGCTAATTGTGGTGGGGTAACCATTTGTGGGCTGCACATAGGTCGTAATATTTTCTTGATTGTTCGTTTGGCAACGGGTGGTTTTTCTTCCACTTGGGGGGTTTTCCACCAATTAAACTCATCGGTAATCTCTTTTTAATTTCTTCAGTCATTATTTTTATTTTCTCTCAGCTTTGTTTCCTGAACTCTTGAAGCCGATCCGAAGGGCGGGAAACATGCGAATTTTTTCCCCCAACAAAATCTGGTCTATGTAATGAGCATACATAATATGTTTGATAATTTTTAACATGCTTAGTAGGGTCGGTTTATGAAAACGTGATTTTTTTATGTTTATCGGGATGTGCATTTAATTTCTCAGTCATTATTTTATTTTCTCATTTGTTCCTGCTTGAAGCCGATCCGAAGGGCGGGAAAATAGCGATTTTTCCCAACAAAATTGGTCTTGTAATGAGCATACAACTATGTTTGATAATTTTACATGCTTAGAGGTCGGTTAAAAGTGAATTTTATGTTTTCGGGATGTGCATAGTGTTTTGGAGGTTATTCAGATTATTTTGAATATAGTATCACCATTGTTAAGGTATTCTAGTAATTTTAGAGGTTTTTAATCAGTATTTTTATTATGAAATGTATTACCGTTTCATATGAATTAGAATGATTATGGGGTGTTAAATTGAAATTTAATTGTCAATGGTGGTAAATGACATAAATGGACGTTTGTGCTACACCCTGAAGTAGGGGTATTTTAGTCTTCTCATATCTAATTTTAAGGTTTAAAGTACCATAGAAATAGTCTCTTTTATCCCTAAAAATTAAGGGAAGCCATAAATTGTATTGGATAAGAGGAAAACTTAAAACGAAAAACGAATGGTTTTGATTGGGTTTTATATGATTTTGGGCTGCTGAGTGCAAGGGAGGTTGGACCTCTCATGGCTGTATCACTTGGCATGTAATGCCTGTCATCAGGCACGCCACCGTAGTGAGCCATAGGTTGTTCAGGGTGTTAGTCAAAAGGGCACGTCTAACACTGAGGCAGATTTGCATTTTTGAGGTTTTTGAATGTTTGCGTGGTTTTTCTTAGCCATTTTCACTCCAAATTAAAGTAAGGCAACCTCATTATTTTGTATTTCTATCAATTTAAATTAAATGAATGACGAAGATTTTAATTAAAAATATAAAAAAATCATGGCTATAACTTTAAGTGTATATTTTGAGTCCTAACTTGATTTTCTTTGATCCAAATGATCTTATTGATGAGAAATTATTGCATGATTCATGAAAAATTTTTATTTTTATGTTTTGAGTTTAAAAATATTGGGATTTAATCAAGTTTTTTTATGAGCTTTTAGTTTTATTTTTTGTTTAATTGAAAAAAATTTGGATTTATATGTGTAAATGCATGATTGGAGTTCCTAGGGAATTTAGGTGAATTCTACAGAGTTCCTTGATGAGGTATTGTTGTGGTTTAAATTCGCCCTATCTTGGGTAGATTTCATTTTAAGAATAAATTTTGCGTCTGTCTTAGCAAATTTCAGTTTAAATCTTGCACCCTAAATTGGGTAAATTCACTTATTTTCAGATCAAACCTTTTTCCCTGTCTTGGAAAATTTCACTTGCTTTCAAAATATAATTTGCCCCCTGTCTTGGGCAAATTCCATTTATTTTAAAAATAAAATTTGCTGAGCCTTGACACAGTACTGAGCCATTTTTTTAAGCGAAAGCCCATACAGGGTCCTCCTCATCTCACTTAATTTAATGATTTTTAATCTAACAATATGTATCGGCTACATTCAAGTATGGGCTAATTATTTTTCTTTTGGCCAAAACTTGAAACTAATCTTAATTAATTAAGCTAACTTCTAATCATGAGCTAGTATTAACCTTTAACAATTTTTAGACCCAACAATTTTATTCTCTACAAAACCCCAAATATAGAAAAATTATAAACCGACCAATCCGGAAAATTACCAACATTAAATTAATTAGAGAACTAAAGGATTTTCGTCATCGAGCATAAGGGTACAAATCAAGCGTTAACATGAACTATGATGATGAAATAATAATGCCCCATGATATGAAATATTGTGAATGAAATGATGATGATGGATGCTTATGATTATAAAAAGGTTATGATGTGAATTGTGATATATAAATTATACTCCCTCTGCCCCATTGTGTTGGCATGGTTTGAGAAACACGCATTTTAAGAATTTACTCAATAAAAACTATTTTACCCTTTGTTATCCTTAAATATTAATAAAAATTTTTCATTTAATGAACAATTATAAAGGTTATTAGAGGAAAAATAATTGTTTAAATATACAAATTTAGAAACCTTGCAACTATTTTTGAACATCCATAAAAGGAATAACAAACAAACAAAATGGGATGGAGAGAGTACTTATTAATGTTAATGCACATATTTTTATTGATGTGGCATGAAATAAACTCTTTGGAGTATCCCGCAATGCATAATTCTCATTGAATATATTTAGGTTGTTCACTTTTCTACTATTTCAATTTTGCATGTTTTTATGAATTTTGGTGAGACTTCTTTCTTTCCTCTAAGCCAAGTTATTTTTAACTACATTTAATTCAAGAGACTACTAGATGACATGAAATTTATAGGTTATCTTTATGCTAACTTACGTGTGTGAGATTCAATTCATGAAAGCTTGTATTCTTGTTGTCATGTTTCTTAATGCATTTCTTCGTTTTACCTTGAAAAAAAAAAAAAAAAAAAAAAAATTTAGGTTGTTCACTAGTTCTAGTCTAGTTTAAATTTTTCTCGCATGCTGGATTTTATGAAATCTTGTGGTGAGAGGTTCATTTACTTTGTCCTGACTAAGGGGCAAGTCATAATGTTCCTTAACTCTACATTTAATTTCAAGACCCCGCACTACTAGTGGATGCCATTGAGCCATTTATATGCCCGTTAAATATCTTTTATGCATAACTTTACGATGTTGTGAGATTCAATTCCAAGTTGAAACACTTGTTATCCTTCTTTGTTTTGTCATGTTTTTCTTTTATAATTAGGTGGTGCTTCGTTGTTTACGCACCCGTTTGAAAAAGAAACCAAAAAATAAATATTAAAAAAAAGCCGTCAAGGATATTTGGATTTTATGATTGTACGGTTTAAATTGTAGAATAGCTTTAAATATTATAAATTTATAAATGGGTAGTATAGGGGAAGAAATGTTCAATATTCATAATTTTTGTATGTATGGATGTTTCGAAGAGTAAATATTAAGTTTAAAAAAAAAAAAAAAAAAAAAAAGCCCAAGGAATTGATTATGTTGTATTATTGTAGAATGCTTTAATATTATATATGAGAAAAGAAATGTTCATATTCATAATTTTGTATGTATGGATGTTCGAAGAGTAATTTAAGTAGTGGAGACTGGTGCGATTAGGCTATACTCTTACTGGATATTGATCCATACATGGATTTAAACCGTGACAACCATGAGCTGCACATGAATTTTAAGGTAAAAATAAATATATATTTTGCTCTAAATTATTGCATTATTGTCATTGCTCTATATATATGACATTGTTGTAATTCCCAATGTTCTAAGAACCGGAACGACCAGTGAACTGTGAATGTAGGAGTTCATTGAATCGTAGGGTGCAATCGAGTTTAATACAGTTCAACCAGATTTTTGTATATAATATTTTAAAATATATTTATTAAATAAAATTGAAAATATAGGTAAAAAAAAAACTTTCATATCAAATAAAAAACAATGTCAAATTTGGCTTTTACAAAAATATAAAAAAATTAGTAAATAATTTTAAACAAAAAGAATAAAATATTACTAAATTTAATACTAAAAAAATTAATTAATTACCATAAAATATATTATAATTTTTGACATGTGGTTTTAAATTTAGGCAATTTAATTTTTTTAATTAAAATATTAGGACTTTGGGTTTAGATATAAAGAGCTTCAAAAACTAAAAAATTAGTGCTCCCAATTTTCAAGACGCCTAAATTTTAAAAAGGCCCACATATTTCAAA